GATATACTTCTAGGGACCTGAAAATTTTCAGTTCTTCCAAGGTGCTATGATAAGGGGCGAGTTATTTTCTCTCCACCGCCACAACAAGCTTCACCACACCAGCACTCCTCCTTGCTCCAGGACCTCACCTCAGAACTGTGACCCAGATCCAAGCATGGGCAAAAGCAAGAGATTCTTGCCTCAACACTGGCAGAGAGATCCTTGCAATCCCCCTCTGATCCACCACTCGATTCCCCCTCAGTCTGTGGACAGGGAGCTCAGGAAACAGCCGCGGCCCCAGGGGTGGCTGAGACCTAGTTCCTCTCTCATCGCAGTCACAGACTTTTCCCACTGACCTCCTAAGTTGTCTTTGGCGTTCAGGGGTTGAGAAATCTGGAAACCACCACAGCTGCCCGCGATTCAGTCCTCTGAGGCCTGCTGCAGGGTCGCTGCGGCCTGCGTGCCCACACTGAACTGCGCTCCTCTCCCCGCCCAGCACAGTATACCTTTCCGATCAACCATCCGGGCTGTCTTCGGCTCGAAATTTGTTTCACTCTGTCTCTTTGTGGGTTCTGCTGCTTTAGAATTTGTTTAGAGCCATTTTTTATAGGTATTTGGAGGGGTTTGGGGGGAGAGCTCAAGCAAGTCACTGCTTTCCCTCTGCCATCTTGGCTCCACCCCCCTGGAATTTTTTAATTATACATTGTCGTTAATTTATAGTGACATCTCCTACTGAGAGCACTATTAGAGGTAGAAATGGAATGTACAGTCCTTGCCCTCAGAGAGATATAGCAGGACTCATGAAGCAGCATGATAATTAAGCATTATCAAGGTTTCCTGGGATTCATTTTTTTTCTTGGGATCAAGAAAATTATTTGCATAAGGCGGTAGATGTACAAAAAAATACTTGTCTCCATTGCTATTCTATCTTACATTCTTAATTTCTATCTAAGTGGAAGACTCAACTGTTTCCCTAATGTGTATCTTAAGTCAGAAAATTTTCCAGTGGTCTAGTCTGAAGGTTTCAAAAACTGAAGTAACGTCTAAAAGCGATATGGTGAAGGAGCTTTAACAAAAGATTGATTTGCAAGTGAAGTAAAGACTTTGGTCTTTTCCATCCTCTATCAGTAGTAGTCCATCTAGTAGGCACGCTCCCAGAGTATTAAATGTAGCAGCAAAATACAAATGAAACTGCACAATTAATAGAACCCAGTTTTTCCTTAACTAGAACTAATGAGGGGCACTTTGATACTTTCATTACTCCCATGTCCCAGCAGCAGGAGAGAGCATACTATATATTCATAGTTGAAAGAGTTGCCTGCCTCGGATCTGAAGATGTGAGTAAGTATCCACAAAAGTGAATTTAGGGAATAGGAACCATGTTAGGGGCTCTGAGAGTTCTGAAAGTATGAAGACTAAACCAATTTAAAGTCTTTGAGACTATATATCTTTAGGTCTTGAATGCATTCTAAAGGATCACCACATGGTGCCCCAAGAGGAGATCCAGTAGGACATATAACAACCTGTGAGCAAGGACTGCAAAGGTCATATGACTCAGGCTAAAATGTTGTCTATTTTTTAAGACTCTGAATTTTTTTATTTGTTCCTATTTGCACCTACTTCATCGATTCACTGTTGTGATTTATCCATGGAAATAAAGTCAAGCCTTCATTTAGATTGACAAAGGACATACTGAATCCAGATCTGTAAGCTGTAACAGAAATGACCAAAGAGCTATCTGAACTCATTTCTCTAAGTATTCTTTAAAAAGTCTCATGTTTTAAGTTAATGACCCCTAAGGTTCATTGGCTTTTATCACAAATTCTTATTTTCTATCCCACAAATCATCAGTAAGCGCACAGTTGTTGATGTGTGCTTTTAATGAGCATTTTTGCTGAGAGCTAATTCTGTAACTGGTTTAACTTGTTTGCTTAGCTATGCTGCAGAATCTTTTGTTGAAGGCTGCTTCTCTCACAGCTCCTTATTTGATCATGATTACACACAAGTGTCTTTTTGTGAAATATGTCTTTTCCAAATAACATTTTGAAAGTTTAAACTTGACAATACCCTTCTTTTTTGGAGCCATTTTAAGAAATCTCCCTCAATACAGAATAAAATAAAGCATTTATAGGATAATCTTGCTATACTTTATTAGGGGGTGATGATGAATTATTGAACTTCAAATATCTTGGTTTAAAAAGATTTTTGGTTTTAATGTACTTTTATTGAAGTCACCTTCCGCATTTCTTTTTCTTATTCTGAACTTAAAAAACAAAAAATAAAAAAAAAAACATTTCCATATATATTGTAAACCACAAAAAGAGGATTCTGTGAGATTTTCCATTTCACACTAATTGCTTTAAAAAAAATAAACTATAATAAATTCTACAGATTACCTTCTTTTCTGTAGAAATTTTTTAATGGGGCATTGACCTTTTTTTATCGTGCCACCATTATTGCTAACCCCTACTGTGAGAAAGAAAGGAAAAATATAAATCTTTGTAACAAATAATTATAATAAAATAAAATTAATCCATGCAGTGACCATGTCCAAAAGTGTATACCTTTGAACCTTATATCCATCATTTCTCTGTCAAGAGGTGGGTAATTGATTGATTATAGGATTACTGGAAACATTGTTGATCTTTGCTT